GTACCAGACCTGATGTTAACCTTGCCGTCAGTTTGGTAGGAAGGTACCAAAGTAATCCCGGCAAGGAACACTGGACAGCGGTCAAGAATATCCTGAAGTACCTGAAAAGGACTAAGGAAATGTTTCTCGTTTATGGAGGTGACGAAGAGCTCGTCGTAAAGGGTTACGTCGACGCTAGCTTCGACACAGATCTGGATGACTCTAAGTCACAAACCGGATACGTGTATATTTTGAATGGTGGGGCAGTAAGCTGGTGCGGTTGCAAGCAAAGCGTCGTGGCGGGATCTACATGTGAAGCGGAGTACATGGCAGCCTCGGAGGCAGCACATGAAGCAATATGGGTGAAGGAGTTCATCACCGACCTAGGAGTCATACCCAATGCGTCGGGGTCGATCAAGCTCTTCTGTGACAACACTGGAGCTATTGCACTTGCCAAGGAGCCCAGGTTTCACAAGAAGACAAGGCACATCAAGCGTCGCTTCAACTCCATTCGTGAAAATATTCAAGATGGAGACATAGAGATTTGTAAAGTACATACGGACCTGAATGTAGCAGATCCGTTGACCAAACCTCTCCCTAGAGCAAAACATGATCAACACCAGAATTCCATGGGTGTTCGATTCATCACAATGTAACTAGATTATTGACTCTAGTGCAAGTGGGAGACTGTTGGAAATATGCCCTAGAGGCAATAATAAAAGCATTATTATTATATTTCCTTGTTCATGATAATTGTCTTTATTCATGCTATAATTGTATTATCCGGAAATCGTAATACATGTGTGAATAACAGACACCAACATGTCCCTAGTGAGCCTCTAGTTGACTAGCTCGTTGATCAACAGATAGTCATGGTTTCCTGACTATGGACACTGGATGTCGTTGATAACGAGATCACATCATTGGGAGAATGATGTGATGGACAAGACCCAATCCTAAACATAGCACAAGATCATATAGTTCGTTTGCTAGAGTTTTCTAATGTCAAGTATCTATTCCTTTGACCATGAGATCGTGTAACTCCCGGATACCGTAGGAGTGCTTTGGGTATGCCAAACGTCACAACGTAACTGGGTGACTATAAAGGTAGACTACGGGTATCTCCGAAAGTGTCTGTTGGGTGACATGGATCAAGACTGGGATTTGTCACTCCGTATGACGGAGAGGTATCACTGGGCCCACTCGGTAATGCATCATCATAATGAGCTCAGAGTGACCAAGTGTCTGGTCACGGGATCATGCATTACGGTACGAGTAAAGTGACTTGCCGGTAACGAGATTGAACGAGGTATTGGGATACCGACGATCGAATCTCGGGCAAGTAACATATCGATAGACAAAGGGAATAGCGTACGGGATTGATTAAATCCTCGACATCGTGGTTCATCCGATGAGATCATCGTGGAGCATGTGGGAGCCAACATGGGTATCCAGATCCCGCTGTTGGTTATTGACCAGAGAGTCGTCTCGGTCATGTCTGCTTGTCTCCCGAACCCGTAGGGTCTACACACTTAAGGTTCGGTGACGCTAGGGTTATGAAGATATGTATATGCAGAAACCCGAATGTTGTTCGGAGTCCCGGATGAGATCCCAGACGTCACGAGGAGTTCCGGAATGGTCCGGAGGTAAAGAATTATATATAGGAAGTGCTATTTCGGGCATCGGGACAAGTTTCGGGGTTATCAGTATTGTACCGGGACCACCGGAAGGGTCCCGGGGGTCCACCGGGTGGGGCCACCTGTCCCGGGGGGCCACATGGGCTGTAGGGGGTGCGCCTTGGCCTAGATGGGCCAAGGGCACCAGCCCCTATAGGCCCATGCGCCTAGGGTTTCCACCATGGAAGAGTCCATGTGGTGGAAGGCACCCCTAGGTGCCTTGGGGGGGAGGGAAACCTCCCCTTGGCCGCCGCCCCCCCTAGTAGATGCCATCTACTAGGGCCGGCGCCCCCCTGGCACCCCTATATATTGTGGGGGGGGGAGAGGAGGGATTTCACACCAGCCCCTGGCGCCTCCATCTCCCCCCGTTACGTCTCTCCCTCGTAGTCTCGGCGAAGCCCTGCTGCTGTGACGCCCTGCATCCACCACCACGCCGTCGTGCTGCTGGATCTTCATCAACCTCTCCTTCCCCCTTGCTGGATCAAGAAGGAGGAGACGTCTCCCGTCCCGTACGTGTGTTGAACGCGGAGGTGCCGTCCGTTCGGCGCTGGTCATCGGTGATTTGGATCACGTCGAGTACGACTACATCATCACCGTTCTTTTGAACGCTTCCGTGCGCGATCTACAAAGGTATGTAGATGCATCTAATCACTCGTTGCTAGATGAACTCCTAGATGATCTTGGTGAAACGAGTAGGAAAATTTTTGTTTTCTGCAACGTTCCCCAACAGTCGGGTTGCGCCCCGCTGGCCGCTTCGCACCTCCACCGACGGATTGGCCGCCCACTTCTTCTTCGTTGGTGGTGTGTTGCAACGGCGATCGGCTGGGGAGGGGAAAAATCGGGGCGGCGACGACATGGAGACGGAGGCAGGATTGGGGACGGTGGGCGCGTCGGCGAAGGTTGCGGCATGGCGGGCGGTTGCGGCGGATGTGTCGGCTATGGCCATGGTGGCGGTTGGCGGGCGGCATGCGGAAAGGAAGAAAGCGGTTGGGCTATTGGCGCACGAGTGCCAGTTTTACATCTCCTGGAGGTGGAGATGTAATTTTTTTTATTTTCCATCTACATCATCTTTTGGTGGTAGGTTTTCGGGCCTTGAATATGTATAAGTTAGTTATTTTTATGTCTACATCATTTATTGGAGATGCTCTAACCCAATAAGAGCAACTCTTCTACCGGATCCTGCAAAAACCCATCCCATAAAAACAGTATTTGCGGTACCGCACGACATCATACGGAATAGAACTCGTAAAGTCGTATTGTAAAAGTTTTTTCTTTTTTTTCTCTCCACTCTCCTTCTCTAGGACGCATATATGAACAAACTCGAACTCCGGCCAGAAACAGAGCTGACCGTAACGCACGACTCTGACAACGAAGCTGGTTGCAAGCGGCCTTGACTCCTCCTCACTGACCTCACCGTCGACAAGGGCATGACTCCCCAATACCACCTTCCCTTCCTCGACCCTGCCACCGACAAGGGTGCGCTGGTACTGGGAATCCAGACCTGCTCGTCAGGCATGTGCACGATGCACCCCAACCTCGAAACCCCTCCTTCAACGGCTTCAAACTTACCGATTTGTACGACATTTTTGGTAGGTCCGGGCGGGTGTTACGGACAGAGATATGAAAGTGGGGGCTGGTCGCTGAGACATGCTCGGGATACAGTCGCCAAGACCAAGAACAACAAGGATAAGAGGTCACCGAGACAGGCGCGGAACATGGAGGAGGTCACCAAAAAATGGGAAGGAGGAGGTGTCGCGGGGACAGGACAGCGAAGAGGACGTCCTTTCGCTCAATCTCTTCATAACCGTCCTTAGACCTTAAGGCCAATGAGGTGGTTCACAACAGCCCTTCAGGTATGTACATAGTGTGGCTGACCTCAGAACACTTTTACAGCGGCTTTTGAATTTTACGTAACCGACATTCTTGTTAGGTTGAGGCGTTTGGTGAGGCAGTGCAAACCATTTTTGGAACCGAGACGATGTAAACCAATTATTTTTTATACCAAACATTTATATGTATTTTAAACTAATTATAGCATATCCGAATTTTAATTGGTATAATTTTCAATTAATTGACATTACATTTAGCCACATGACAATGTTTGTTTCTAAATAGTAATTACATTTTGCTAAAGCACATCTAGATGTGCCATAAGTATTGCACATCTAAGTTCTATACCATTGATTTTATTTGAAAATTCATGCAAGAATTTTCATTAGTTTTTTCTTTTTCTTTCTAGTTTAATTGAGTATTCCTGGTTATACAGTTGTAATATATATAAATTGAAAATTTTCTTGTGCGGAGTTTAATTGTATAATGTAACAAAAAAAATCTTTTTCTAGTTCAAAAAATTATTTGAATTGTTTTTTAAATATTGCATAAAGTATAGAGTGTATAGGCAAGTGTTTGTATATCTTTTAATATTAATGAATATCATGGTACAGATTTTTTAAATCGTATACACTAACAAATATCTTTACAGTGTTTCTAGTATATGTTAGGTAATCGCATTCGTGTGAACCAACATGTGATTGGATGGTTATGTTGGCTCAGTCTCTCGGAGGTACTCATATGGATAAGTGTGCGCGTTGTTTATAGAGATGAGTGTATGCGCATATATATGATCGTCTGCGTCTGTACTGTGCTGAAAAAAAGGTAATAGCATTCATAGGAATTTTTAGGTGCAAATACGACATGCAAGTTGGGTTTAGTAATAGGTTGACAACATGTGCATGCATTTATACTTGTTTTAAACTGGCACCATTATATTATAATAATAGAAGAACATAAAATATTATCGATTGTGCTTTGGCATATGATTCAGTTATCTGACATGCTAATCTAGATTAACTTAGTTTGATTTGGTACATCTGATATCTTCTACCCGGTTTTTCAAATGAAATTTTGTGCATTCATTTAAATACAGAAATCTAGTTATCCTGAATTTCACCTTTTCTGGCATGGGAGATCAGCCAAGGTTGGAGGTCAAATGAAACTTTACACTAATATATACTTCAGGCTTAGAGTCCCGCAGCGCATGAGATATGTTTGAGTTTCAGATAACATTCACAAAAGAAACATGGTAGAGGATTCACATTCATTTGATCCAAAAAAGAATTACTGCAACTTTTCACAAGTTTACCATCACCTCGTAGTACAATATTACATCAAAAAAATTCAGTCATCCTCTTCTGAAATGTCATTCAGCTCAGAGCAGAAATGGTAGGACCCCACTACAGGGGTGTGCCCATCGTCACAGAAGAACGGCCTTGAAGGTAACTGCAGGCCATCCACGCCGCCTTCGAGCATCCCTATGACTTCGCTCATCGCTGGCCGATCGTGAGACTAGATCTGGATGCAACGTAGCCCAACAAGACACAGCTTCCTCTCCAACTCGTGCATCTCAGCAGATATCTCGCCCAGCTCCTGTCTGGTTAGCCGGTCATACACCCACGATGGGTAGAATGCCTGGCTTGAGTTCGCCACATCCGGGTCGGCGTTCCTCGGTCCTCCTGCCATCTCCAGCAGCAGCATCCCAAAGCTGTAAACGTCAGATTTGGTAGATATGACACCAAAACTGCGGGATATCATCTCAGGAACTATGTACCCGATGGTTCCCCGTAGGGCGCTCAACGGCCCAAAGCTGTTGTCCCTTGGGGCTTGGGTATAGCTTGGCAAGCCAAAGTCGGCAACCTTTGGGACGAAATTGCTGTCAAGAAGGATGTTGTGCGGCTTGATGTCAAAGTGCAGAATCTGCATGTCGCATCCTTGATGCAGGTAGTTGATCCCCCCTGGCAATACCCAAGGCGATTTCATTGAGCTTGTCCCAGGAGAAACTCTTCTCGGCTGAGAAGATGTACTTGTCCAGAGAACCATGAGGCATATACTCGTAGACTAGCGCCCTCCTCATTTCCTCCGAGCAGAACCCGACAAGACGCACCACATTGATGTGGTGGATCCTCCCGATGGTGGAGACCTCGCTGATGAAATCTTCTCCATCACAGCTGGATTTACCGTTTAGCATCTTGATGGCCACATGGACATCGCCTGGGAGCAGAACGCCCTTGTACACAGAGCCGTAGCCTCCTTGGCCCAGCTTGTCTCTGAAATGGCTTGTTACTGCGACAACATCTGTGTAGGCATACCTTGTCGGCAGGGG